GGCCGGGGGGGGGGGCTGGCAGGATGAAGGGTCTTGTGGACCAGGAGTGAGGGGCAGCAGTAGGGCTGTGGCTTGGGAGTGAGGGGCAGACACAGACACACACACACAGACAGAGGGACAACCAGACAGCTGCCCACAGCTCTGTTGCATGACTCACCCCAGCCCCGGGGCCCCGTTCACTCCAGCCCCTACCCCACTCCCTCCCTCACCATGGGGGCCTCAATCTGCCCTCCCCTGCCTCTTCCCTCTCCCTTTGCCCCTTCCCCTCCACAGACTTACCAGCTTGGCGCTCTCTACGTAGCAAAAGAAAAAATCCAGACATCTGATCTATCAGGAGATCATGAGTCAGAGTTAATTTGACTTGGAAATCAGGAATCTCATGATTTTTTCATGAGAGTTGGCATTACTGGGTCAAAAAAAGGAGTGAAAGGAGTCTTGAAATGGGGTGCTGCTGAATTCAGAAAAGTTATGGGGGAAGGGAGGGTTTGAGTTTAAAAAAAAGGTTGAGAAACACAGTTGGACATGCTAGAGGGAAGTGCGCAAAGTTTCTTTTTTCCCTCCATCCCTATAAACCGTTTGCTAGTGCATAGCAGGCTCTGTCACTTCTCCCTCCACTCCAAATTCTGTGTCACATGCCCCAGCAGTAAGTAAGCCCTCTGATCAGAAAGCACCATGTTCCCAGCAATGCCTGGCCGTTTGTCTCCTGGGATGGCTGGTATGCTTGGAATGTGTGTTTGTTTCTTTGTTCTTCAGATAGGCCATGAGGAATCCTTTTTAAGAGCTTCATATGTGCAGAGCAAACCTGTCTTCGAATGGGCTGAGCTCTATAAATCTTTTTTTTTTATTAGAATTTTTGTATTCTGCGTGATTATGATTCTGCTCCCACCTTACTCTACGGGGCTTTGGTTGGAATGCCTCCCTCCTTTCCAAAGCACTCATGGCCCGTATTTACTTCTTTGTTGTTGCACCTCTTACCTTGTTCCTGTTTAAGTATTTGGAATTAAGATGAAGTGAGCTCTCTCAGAACGACTGCTCTTTTCTCCCTGGCTCATTTTTGACACAATTCCATTTTTACAATGTAGACAAAACTTCACAAGGCTCCCAGGCGAGGGGCAGGCTTGGATTGGATGCTGCTGTTTCACAACAAACCAACCCAGAATTTTAAAGCAAAATGGAATTGTGGAGGGTCATGTGGTTTCATGTCAGAATTTGCAAAAAACTTTGAAATAAACTAATCATCTTGAATTCCCTGACAGTGAAAGGCAGAGCTGGTTTCTGAGCGTAATGTAACTCTTCCTAATCTGTCCTGAGTTTTGAGTTTGTAATACAGTAGAAAAACAGCAAATCATTGAATGACTTGGAGTTCTGTTGGCAACTTTTTGTATACATCTATTGGAAGTTACTTCCTCGATGAGGATCAAGTAGCATTTAATTAGGGAGAAATATAGGACAAATATAGGGAGAAAGCGCTAAGTCACATGCTTTCTGCAGTAAAATCAGGTAAGAAAATACCTTAAGTACCCCATTTTTATTTGCTCTAAGTCCTTCCTCTGTCATTTGTATACCACAGGTGTTAATGCCACTGCCCCACACTTTTTTCTTATGCTAGGGCATTTTCTGTGCTAAGTGACTTCAAACTGAAACAATTTCACTATCCCTGGTACAGTGCCAGGTAAGGACAGGGAGATACCAATGGGATGTTTAGGCAAGAGTTAGGTTATGTGGGGCATGAAACTGAGCAAGCCCATTAGATACCCCGGTTAGGAAATGTTCTTGTCCATCACCCAGACAATGATTGAATAGAAATTTATCCCTGTGTGGGTCATTTACCAGTGTGAGGAACAAGAGCCAAGCAGCCAAAATGTTAGTACATTTGCCTTTAACATAATGACAGAAGGCTCAGCCATGCCCTGCCCTGCATAAAAACCTACTATTATGTGGCCTCTTCCTCAGAGTCATCCATAAAAGGGTTGAGTCAAACAACTGGGAAACATATACTCAGACCTTGAGAAACCCTGCTAATACTAAGACTTTTCTCCAGATTCTTCCTGTTCAGACTCCTTCTCTTGTCTTGTCCACTACCTGGCCTCATCCTTATACTTCATTTTAGATTCCTGACCCCAGTGTAGATTGGCAGTTCCTGACCTTGGCTTGTTCTCCGGAGTACTGACTGCAGCCCATGGCCTTCAATCCTGCTGTAGCCGTTTGTCCAGGTTACCCATGTCCCAGTCCCTGATAGCCAAAGCTTGCAGGTTACTCGTATTAAAACAGGCAAGGTCATTTGATGGATTTATAGTTCTTTCCTGATAATTCATATAACCTGCAGTTCTCATCTACTGGTACCAGGGGGACTAAGCTCCTCCTTCATGATGATGTGTCTGGAAGAACTTCTAGTGGCCAGGTGAGCACAAAGGGCTGTACACTAACCATTTCTGAGCATTCACATGTCTTTCTTTTTCAGGATAACAGTACCAAGAAGTCTGTGTTAAAAAGCAGGTTGATTGTGCTTTAGTGGTTAGATCAGGGAACTTGAGAGCCTGTCATTCCATTCCCCTGGCTTACTGTGTTAGCCTTTTGACCTTTCCTAATGTTGCTATCAGTAGGAACAACAGTAGCAATTCTAGTGTTATCCATGGCTAGCTTTTCAGCCAAAGTGTCTTATAGGGCTGCTGTAATCAGGGTTAAACACTGGAAGTGGTGAAGTTACTACCCCATCAAGAATAGTACTCCCTGGGTACATCTACACAGGACACTAACAATGCAGTAGCCTAATAACACTGCACAGTAGCACATCACAGCACAAACAGTGCTAATACGCTACTGCAGAGTATTATCTGGCTACTGAGTAGTAGCATCACTTAAAAGGTGTTTGCCAGCACTACTGTGCAGTAAGTCAGGTTACTGCACGTTCATTGAGTACTTGATTATAGTATACAAGTACTAAATTAAATGTGCAGTAACCACTGGCAGACAAGTTTCTTTGGGTAAATGTGATATCTTTTATTAGACCAACTAAATAGTTGGAAAAAATTTTCTTTGCAAGCATTTGGGTACAAACACATCCTTAGAACAACATGGCTACAACCATAAACCTCTCAGTAGCCACTGCGCATTAACGAATGTGTAGATGTGCTCCCTATGTTGCTACCAACAATGGTAAAAGTGACTGAAGGAAAAAAAGAAGTGCAGTATAGGCAAAGTTGGCATTAACAATGGGCAAGTCATTGAACCTCTTTGGGCTGCATTTTGGGCCTGTTAAATAGGGATAAGGGTGGTTACCTAATGTGAGATCTAATTCATTGGCATTTATATGGTGATTTGAATTCTTCTAGAGGGAAGTGCCAGAAACAGGCAAAGCGTTATTTTTTACTGTAAACACTCACTTGTACCACTTCTGTCTCTAGACAGAAATTGCCATTGTGTGGTCTTTGCACCAGCAGATCCAATGCGTTCCAGCCAGATTGTGAGTCTGCAGCCAGAACCCAAAAGGGAAAGCTCCTGGATTTTGTAGAAAGTTTGTTAATTTTTACTGAGGTTTTCTTTGTAACACGATATTTACCATGTGAGTTTAATTCCTACAGGCCACTACCACTGTGTATGTCACCATCGTAGATGAGAATGATAACGCCCCTGTGTTCCAGCAACAGCACTATGAAGTCACTTTGGATGAGGGGCCAGACACTCTCAATGCCACGCTTATCACTATCCAGGCACTAGATCGTGATGAGGGGCCCAACGGCACAGTTACATATGCCATCACAGAGGGGAATATCTTGGACACCTTTCATATAGACAGTACTACGGTCAGTCGTGATGCTCTAGCTTGACACTTTCATCCTGTTTCTCTGGTTTCTTTGGTTAGTTTCCCTCCTGCAGAACTCTCTGCACTCCTGTCTCATTTCAGGGGCAGATCCATACTGTGAAGGAGCTGGACTATGAGATCAGCCACGGGCGCTACACCCTGATTGTCACTGCCACGGACCAGTGCCCAATCCCATCACGCCGTCTCACATCCACCACAACGGTATGGGACTGCTGTGCAGGCCACAATCCACAATTACAAAAGCCAGTTAAGAAGCAGAGGTTTTGAGAAGTTGGAAAGGATTATGCTTGCAGTATTGGAACTTCTGTTCACTCCAGAAGTTCCCGTTTATGAGAAGAGTTTCATATCTCCATACTGTAGCATGCAAGTAGTTCTGTGTGTCATAGAAGTCATTTTGGACACCATGTGGTTCTTGCAGGAGACAAGGGAGTATATATATCTTCTGGTGGCTTCACTGTGGTAGGTGCTGTCTACCAGCAGAATTTGCTCCCAGTCTTTATGCAACACATGCCAAAAAAATGTAGACACTATTGAGCACCGCTCTCAGGGCATGCCTACACTGCTTCCAGCCACTCTGCTCTGAAGGGAAGGTGCCCACCCCACTCAGTTCAGTGCCACACCCACCAAACATTGATAAAAAGTAATGGAGCTGTGGCTAGAACAGCACTGGATCTGCACCAAGCAGCAGCTACCTGCAGTTGTTTGGTGGACTCGGAGTGGGAATGAACAAGTGAGGTGTGTTTTCCTGGCAGCACTCCCTGGCACAGTAGAGCGGTGTAGACATGTTGCAAGAGTTACACACATTCAGACAAACAACAAAAATATCCCGTATCTTATAGCTCCCATTACCTTTAACTATATTTTGGGTAAGAGTGTGTTCAATCTCCAGATGCTTTAAGGTTTGCACAACATTAGAAACTAAATTCTTGAGTTTATAATGTATTCAGGAAAAATAAAGCAACTGACTGATAAAAGCAGCAGCATGCAAACTATACTATTGTGTCAGGCCTGGCAGTAGTTTTACTAAGAGGTTAGATTATGGATTTGTATAGGATGATTTGGATAGGGATGATGCCTTGCCAGGGGATTGGACTAGATGGCCCTTGGAGGTTCCTTCCAGCCCTACTTCTCTATGATTTCTATGATTACTTGAAGAAAATTGGCCTTCCAAAGCAATGTAATGTGGTCAGATTAGATGCTTGCAGTTTTTGTTACTCTCTACCTGTGATGCTTAGAATGCCCCATTGACCCTCCTTTTTTCTATACTAACTTATGCAGTCAGTTTTTAAAGCTTCTTATTTGTATGTGCTGTACAAATGTATAGATCATCGAGATGTGCTCTTTTTGCATGTGCCTGAAGCTGTCAGCTTGTAACATGTAAATGGTCAGGAAGAAGCTGATGCTGCATTCTCTTGGCCTGACAGCCAGCTGAGCCAGTGTGACAGGAGTATAGTGCTGTAGTTGGACTCTGATAAATAGTAAATATAGAAGCATCAGAAAACTGGATCCAATTTTTTTTGCCTCATGCTATATTTACTTTGGCCAAGTACACAGCCACAGTCTACCAGCATGCTGAGAATCATTCATTACATTGCTGTCCTACTCATTTATTCTAAAGAACCTTCCAAAATCCAGTAAAACTAGAAAGGAAGAAAGATATTATTCTTTCTCCTTGGCCAGTTGCTTCTGAAACCAACAAACCCAAAAGATTTTTTTTGTGTGCTAAACTAGGTGAACAAATCTTGGATGCTACACTGAATGTTTCAGAACAGACACATTTAAACATCTGATAAAGTGAAATAAAAACAAGATGCTATTCCATTTGTCTGACCAAAACCATCCAGGGAAGAAAGTCTACTGATCCCACTATTTTGGTTGCTGACTCACAAGTTCTAACCAGGATTTTTGGTGCCAAAGCTGAAAGGATTGGTCCTAGCTTCCTTTGTGGCTTCTCCCTTATTCTGTACATACTTGTCCTGACTGCAGGTGTTGGTGAATCTGAATGATATTAATGACAACCAACCTACTTTTCCACGGGCCTATGAGGGACCCTTTGACATCACAGAAGGTCAGCCTGGCCCAAGAGTGTGGACTTTCCTGGCCCATGATGGGGACTCAGGCCCAAATGGACAAGTTGAGTACAGCATCATAGCAGGGGATCCTCTGGGTAAGTTGTGGGGAAGAAGTGGAAGCTAGTTTATGGGATTCCTTTAGATTGTTCCTACAATCCCCCATGTTTCTGTATTTCACACACACATGCACAGACACACACAGACGCCTCTGCACAACCTCTTCCCCATATGCACAAAAATGTACGTATACATGTGATGAAGAATGTGAACCTCTGCTCTGAGATGCAGAACTGAGAACCAGCAAATCTGGATTCTGTTCCTGACTGCACCATAGACTTTCCTGAGCAAATCACTTGGGATTTGTCTGTACTACGGTGGCAGAGAACTCAGTCTCATTGCCAAGGTAGTGAGCTCTGGTCACCCACCCCCATTCCACATGCATCAATTCCAGCAACAAAATGGTGAGGATGCCTTGAGGGGACCCCAAGCCACTGTTCACAAACATGCCAGAAACCCAGGTCTTGAGAATGAAGCCAGAGTCAGCCCCCTGGGGCATCCTCACTCTAATTTCTGGGACTGACCTGCATAAAGCAGAAGCTGGTGGGCAGGGCTCATTTCCTCTGTGGCATGACTGAGTACTCTGCTGCCATTGCACAGACATACCCTCACCCCTCAGTGCCCAGGGGTGCAGTGAGAAAGTCATATTTATTAGACCACAACAGTGTCAAGTGCTATGGAAGCGACCATAAAATAATAGAAACACATATATCTACCTTGTTAATGTGTGCGCACATACACCCATACCCATCTGCACATATCTCTGTGTCTGCACACAGCTCCCTGTGTAACACAACTATTCACTAACAACCACTTATATACATAAATACACTTGTCTACTGAACAACCCCATATGCAATGATAGATACACAACACAGTACAACATATGTCAGGATAGCAAAAAGTCCAGCTATACAATGCCACCATTGAATAAAGCAGGGCAGGGTGTAAAAACCAAGTTCCAAGCTGTGTAGGGAGGAGCATGGGTAGAGGAAGGAGATGTAAAAGAGGATGTAATTTGTTGTAGATTCAGATCAGACAAGACTTGTGGAGTAGACAAAAGAATCTGTTACCTTCTCCCTTCCCCTGGCTATTCAGATGAGCCACTTTTATTCAAGTGGTGTACTTTTTTCCCCAAGCACAGATCTTTAGTGGGGGAAGGGGGAGAGAGGGGAACAGAGAATGGAAAGGGCTAAAAAGCGTGCTTAGGAAAGCACAGGAAGCATTTCAAAAACTGTCCTCGCAACTGATTCCTTCTGAAAAACTCGATTTTGTACACAAGGAAATCCTATTACAAAGAACATCCGCTCTGTGGAGAAACACTGCAACCTGTTGTGGGCTGTTCAGAGAGAGCATGGGCTTGTGCAAGTTTAACCAAGGTTACAAAAGGAGGGGCACCAGGTAGGCAGGGACTTCAGGGAAATCCAGAATGGGCTTGGACTCTATTGGGAAAAATACAGGAAGTTGACATTAAGAAGTACAAAATGCTCAGCAGGATCTGTCCACCCCACCGCTGCATTCCATAGTCATGGTAAACTGGGAGTTAAGCCACAGGTCATGGCTATGTTTTGCTGATTAGCCACCTGCAATTTCTAACCTTCAGTCTCTGGCATTAACACTGGATTAATGATACAGACACCCTTCACTTAACCTTGGGGCATTAGAGGAAGTGAGGAGAATTTTTCATTCACACTTTTAAAGGTAGAATTTAATGAATTTTATTGAAAGTGACAGTCTATAAGGTCTGGCTGGAACCAGGGTGATGGCAGGCTGCCCTTGTGCAGGCTTCCCATAGATAAATACAGTTCTGCATATGCACCTCAGACCAGACCAACAGCAGCATTACCCAACAGTGAAGTGCATTTTAGCCCAGGTCTCCCCTCACCACAGACAAAATGTCTGTGTTACAACAATGTGTGCAAACCAGGGAATAGATTTCACCGCCCTATTCACAGTAACTGAAGTTCAGTTTCTGGAAAGGAAAGACAGTCCCTGTGCCAGATGTACTCTGTAGGAAACTCTGCAAATCAGGCTACTTGCCTTAAGAGATGATTTTTACCACATGCAAAGTACTTCGGGAATTTCCTGTGCACAAGTACGCAATAATTGAGTGACTGTAACCGAACTAGTTTTGATTTATGAAGGGTCAGTATTCAACACACTAGTATTTACATCTTTTTGTCAGCCAAGCATGTGCAAAAATCCCCAGCCACATCCAGAAATGGGGTCAGTGCCTGGAGAAAATACAATCACAGTGGGATAGCTTAGGCACCAAGTGACCCTTTGGGGACACAGTGTGCTGTTTTTAAGCTGTCTGCAGAGCTCACTGGGCAGAGGAGGCTGTTGTGAAGTGACCTTCTCCCCTTCATTACCTCTCTGACTGCCTGAACTAAGGTAGGACACAGGAGACATTTTCTCTACTCCCACAGAGCTTGTCAGTCTCTGTGGTTTAAACCCCTTTAACAGCTGGAGTTTAAATTCACTGAATCAAAGCCTGTAGCAGACTCGGAGTCAAGAAGCATAGCCTTCATTGGCTCACTTACTTCTTTTTGAAAAACTAAGGCAAAGTCTCAGCATTCTGCCCTGATGTCAATGGGATCTGTGTAGCTTTCCAGTGTTATAGTCCTGGCAAATCTCCTTTCAGAAATAACCTGTTTACCCTTTATCCTCTCTCCTTCTTCCAGGAGAATTTGTGATCTCTCCCGTGGAGGGAGAGCTGCGAGTTCAGAAGGACGCTGAGCTAGATCGAGAGAACATTGCTTTCTATAACCTCACCATTTGTGCCAAAGACAGAGGGGTACCTCCTCTCAGCTCCACAGTGAGTCCTGTTAGCAGGCCTTGAGGCTGGGACATTGAGGCCTCACTTACATGTATTCTCACATTCCCAGCATTCTTAATACATGGGGTAGGGAAGTGAGGGGGGGAATGCAGAAAAGAGCCCTTGACCCCCTCTCCTCAGTACCCCCTCCACCCTGTCCTTTCCGTTTTTCCTGTCACTTCATCCTCTCCCTTTCTTTTTCTTTCTGAAACCTGGACAAGTAGGTTGGGGAGGTTCTGTCTCCTTTCCTCTGTCACCTGATAAAGCACAGGTACTAGAATGGCATACAGGAGCACCATCAATGAACTAGGCCAGTGGTTTTCAACCTTTTATCATTTGTGGACCCCTAAAAAAATTTGAATGGAGGTGGACACCCCTTTGGACATTTTGAATGGAGGTGCAGGCCCCTTTAAATTGCAAGTGTGGGTATTCACATACTTTTTATTGATCATAGTTATCATTTGCTGACCACTTAGACATAGTCTGTGAACCCCCAGCAGTGTGTGGACCACAGGTTGAAAACCATGGAAGTAGAGATTGCTGAGCCTTGTGATGCAAAGCATGGCCATGGCTTTGTAATTCTGGCCTTGGTCCTGTCACTGCAGGGACACCTCCTACATCATAAGAAATGTCCCATGTCCTGTCCCACATACAAAATGGCTTTACTGCATAAAACAGGAAAACTTGTTTATCCAAGGATGGCTCAGTGTGAGGGTGGGGAGTGGGCTACAGTTACGGAGCTGGGCTAACTGCTTGAAAACTCCGTATTTGTGACAAGTCAAGTCAGGTAGGAAATTCCCTCTAGCTTGCTCCTCCTGTCTTTTGACTGGAGCAAGAGAGACTAGGGGGCATCTGAACTCCAAGGGCTCTAGGCTTGGTGCTTGCACATAGGATGCCTGCCATGGATTTGGGAGTATCTGAAGCCCCAGGCTGAAGAGTCTGGGAGGTAGGATACTTGCCAGTGGTAGCACCATCTAGCTCTGCTCAGTCAACAGAATTCAAAACTGAGTTGGCTGGTTTGGCTGAAGACATGATATTTTAACAACAACAAAAAATGGGAAATTCCTGCCATCTGAGGCATTATGGAAGAAGGCACAGAGCTTGATTGTTGTAATATGGAAGGATGAGAACACACTCAGGGAATCCAGGAGTGATGGGATACACTGAACCATAGATAATGTTTGCCTTTGTATCCAAAATCCTCTTCTTCATCTTTCAGGTCATGGTGGGTGTGCGTGTTTTGGACATTAATGATAATGATCCAGTGCTCCTTAACCTGCCCATGAATATCACCGTCAGTGAGAACACACCTGTCTCCAACTTCATCACCCGCATCCTTGCCCGAGATGCTGACAGCGGAAGGAATGCTCTCTTGACCTACAGTATAACAGCTGGCAACAGAGAAAATGCTTTTTACATTAATGGCACTGTACGTCTCCTGGCCTCATTATTTCCGTATGCAGCAACATACATAAGCACATGCAGGTCTTTTAGTCTTATGTGTAATGGTACAAATACAAACTCTGCAAAGACCTTCATTCGCTACATACAATGACAGCTATGATTTATACAGTGCACACAGTGGTGCAAACAATAGCTGCATACATAATACACTGACTAGAGAAACACACCTCTCTAAGGCAGACCCCACCTGTTAAATGCATGTGCCCTCTGTAATGCTGTACCAGCAGTGCATTTAGGGGATAATTCTGCCCAGCATAGATTTGAAATATTGCACCATAAGGAAAAGACAAAAAGCAACAAGTAGGACAGGCTGCACAGTAGGCCCCAGTCCTGTAGTATTGAGCATGACATGCATTCACCAACTCATTCCAGCATAGTAGCAGCTGAACAGCCAGAGAGGAGACAAATGGGAGCTCTTGTACACTAGTCCTCTCTGACATAAAAAGGAACCCCACTTCCTTTTTACCTGGAACTCTTGTCGGGGGGAAAGGGACTTAATGGTGGGGGTCTACTACAGACCACCCAGCCAGGGAGAAGAGCTAGACCAGGAATTCTCAGGTCAGCTTACAGAGGCATTTAAGTCAAAGGATGTAGTAATCATGGGTGACCTAAACTATCCAGACATTTGCTGGGAAGAGCAGTCAGCCAGTTCTGACCTCTCATGTAGGTTCCTAGCCATGTTACAGGACTAACCCAGGAGGTGCACAGTCTAACCCAAGAGGTACACAGTCCCACCAGGGGAAATGCCTTGTTAGACCTGGTCCTGGCCACAAGTGACGACCTGGTGAGGGGACTGCGGGTGCTCAACCACCTGGGTGATAGCGATCATCACCTATTGGAATTCACCATCCAGCACAGGGTGGCAAAGGCCTACAGCAAGGCAGCAGCCCTGGACTTCAGAAGGGTGGATTTCATTGAGCTAAGGAGACTAGTCGAGGAGGCACTGAGGTCCTGGAGGGGAGGGGAGTCGGGAGTCCAAGAAGAGTGGTCGTTCCTGAAGGAGACGATCCTCCAAACCCAAAGGGTGGCAATCCCAACACAGATCAGAGGGGGCAAGAGTGCTCAAAAGCCCCCATGGCTCACTAAAAGCATCCAGGAACATCTCAAAGCTAAGAAGGAGGTGTACACCCAATGGAAGAGAGGGGCCATCATGAGGGAGGATTATACCTCCATTGCTCAGGATTGTACGGGGGCTGTTAGGAAGGACAAGGCAGAGATGGAACTGGAACTAGCAACCCGCATCAAGGATAACAAGAAATCCTTTTTTAAATACATGGGGGTAAAAAGAAGGTTCTGAGCAACATGGGGCCTCTGCAGGACACACTTGGAAATCTGGTGGTCTCACCAGATGACAAAGCTAACCTATTTAACAATTTCTTTGCCTCCATTTTTCTGAGCAGGGACCAGGCACTCGTGGTGCTCTGATAAGGTGCCAGAGGACTGGAAAAGGGCCAATGTGGTCCGCATTTTCAAAAAAGGGATGAAGGAGGACCCAGGAAATTATAGGTCTGTTAGTCTTACCTTGGTCCTGGGGAAGCAATTTGAGAAAATTATCCAGGCGCACATCTGCGAGAGGCAAGCAGGGGCATGTATGCTTAGGGGCAACTAACACCGGTTCATTAGAGGCAGGTCCTGTCAAACCAACCTGGTGGCCTTCTATGACCAGGTCACAAAATCCTTGGATGCAGGTGTCGCGGTGGATGTAGTCTTTCTGGACTTTAGGAAGGCCTTCAACACTGTCTCTCACCCCATTCTCGTTAAAAAATTAGGAGATTGTGATGTCGATGCCTACACAGTAAGACGGGTTGCCAATTGGCTGGAGGGCCGCATCCAAAGAGTGGTGGTGAACGGGTCATTTTTGACCTGGAGGGAAGTGGGCAGTGGTGTCCCAAGGGCTCGGTCCTCGGGCCCGCACTCTTCAACATCTTCATCAGCGACTTGGACAAGGGGGTGAAAAGCACCTTGTTCAAATGCACAGCTGACACTAAGATGTGGGCATGCTAGAAGGGAGGAATAGGGTGCAATTGGATCTGGACAGGTTACAGGGGTGGACAGATGAGAATAGGATGGGATTCAATACTGACAAGTGCAAGGTACTGCACCTGGGGAGGAAGAACCAGCAGCATACCTACACACTGGGGAACTCCCTTCTCATCAGTGCAGAGGCAGAAAAGGATCTTGGAGTCATTATAGACTCCAAGATGAACATGGGCCGCTAATGTGGGGATGCAGTCAGTAAGGCTAACCACACCTTGTCATGCATCCACAGTTGCATCATAAGCAGGTCCAAGGAGGTGATCCTCCCCCTCTATATGACGTTGGTCAGGCTGCAGCTGGAGTACTGCATCCAGTTCTGGGCGCCGCACTTCAGGATGGATGTGGACAACATTGAGAGGGTCCAAAGGAAGGCCACTTGCATGATCGGGGCAGCAGGGCAGGCTCTATGAGCAGAGGCTATGAGACCTGAACCTGTTCAGCATCCGTA